CCAGAAGCAGTGCGAGGCTAAAGGAAACTGTTTCCCACACACAACAGGGTGATTGAGCACATGAACTCGAGGCTAAAGGAAACTGTTTCCCACACACAACAGGGTGATTGAGCACATGAACTCGAGGTAAAGGAAACTGTTTCCCACACACAACAGGGTGATTGAGCACATGAACTCGAGGCTAAAGGAAACTGTTTCCCACACAGAACAGGGTGATTGAGCACATGAACTCGAGGTAAAGGAAACTGTTTCCCACACAGAACAGGGTGATTGAGCACATGAACTCGAGGTAAAGGAAACTGTTTCCCACACAGAACAGGGTGATTGAGCACATGAACTCGAGGCTAAAGGAAACTGTTTCCCACACACAACAGGGTGATTGAGCACATGAACTCGAGGTAAAGGAAACTGTTTCCCACACACAACAGGGTGATTGAGCACATGAACTCGAGGTAAAGGAAACTGTTTCCCACACAGAACAGGGTGATTGAGCACATGAACTTGAGGCTAAAGGAAACTGTTTCCCACACAGAACAGGGTGATTGAGCACATGAACTCGCAGCAGCTGTGACAGCAAACAAAACCTGTGCAAGCTCCAGTCAGACGAAATCTCAGCATGAAGCGGGGAGGTGGACATGACGCCCCAGCTCTAGCCAAGAGCTATGGGCAACTGATAGCTGACAGGAAATGAAGAGTCAGTTTCCTTTAAGTCAGATTTAAGGGCATGGATCCTGGAAGTTCAACCACGCTCCCCAGTGCATGGCCACACATCCAAGAATAATTGGACTTGTTCGTTTAGTTGGTGGGTTTTGGATGTGAAGTTCTTTTGTTGTTGTTTCATTTGGTTCACTTTGGTTTGTTTTTTGAGGCAGGGGCTTACAATGTCACAATGGCTGGCCTGGAACCTGTAGACCAGGCTGTCGCTCTGCTTCCCTAATGCTAGGATTAAAGGTATATACCTCCACACCCATCATGAACTCCATGACTTATTTTAAAAATAAAAAAGGTGGGTGGCCGGAGAGATGGCTCAGAGTTTAAGAGCACAGGCTTTTCTTCCAGAGGCCCTAAGTTCAATTGCCAGCAACCACATGGTGGCTCACAACCATCTCTAATGAGATCTGGTGCCCTCTTCTGGACTGCAGGCATACATGCAGGCAGAACACAATTTTTTTTGGGGGGGGGGGGGTTGGGGGGATGTTTGTTTTTTGTTTGTTTTTGTTTTCTGAGACAGGATTTCTCTATGTTTCTTTGAAGCCTGTTCTGGAACTAGCTCTTGTAGACTAGGCTGTCCTCAAACTCACAGAGATCCACCTGGCCTCATACAGAGATCCGCCTGCCTATGCCTCCCAAGTGCTGGGATTAAAGGAATGTGCCACAACCACCTGGCAATAAAGAAACCTTTTAAAATTTTTAAAAATCAAAATTAAAAACGGAAAGGGGGAGCACAAATATGGCTGGTTAAGGGATAGGGTATACCTGAAAAGAGTAGGGGGAGCGTGGTTACTATCAAAATACATGGCATGAAAGTCTCAAAGTTAATTGAAAGGAACTGTGCCAGCCTTTAACTGAATAAAGTCTAATTTATAAGCAAATTTGGTTTTTAAAATGTGTTTTATCTATATCATCTTGGAGCAATGTGTATCAAATTGTCAAATTCAGTTAGTTGTCAATTTCAATGACAAAGTACGTTTAAACACATATGGAGCTATACAGTTCAATTCCAATCATATTTCAACTGGGTGTGATGGCACATGCTTGTAATCCCAACACTCAGGAGATGAAGGATAAAGGATGGTAAATTTGAGGCCATTCTAGACCAGTTCTAAGCCAGCCTAGGATATATAGCAAGTTCTTCAGACAACACCCTCAAAAATAGGAGGTTCTGAATTTGATTAAAAGCTTTAGCTACCAAAGACATGCCCCCTCTTCTAGTCAGCTCTCTGAAGACATTACCCAAAGGGTCCGGAACTTTCAATAAAGCTTCCAAGACACAGCTCCTTGGACCCTTCTGGTGTCTCTGGAAGACTGAAGTCACAGCATGAACCCATCACATGCATCTCACGTGTTTCAGGTCACTGTGGCTCTGGCAGAGGGGCTTGAATTCCGTGCTAAAACCCTGAGAATAGCGTTGTATATGTTTGGAGTCTCCTTGGGAAGACAACACTTACTCATCAACCTCACGATAAAAAAAACAAATGAGTAATCCCTCAAGGATAACGCTGAAGTCCTCCACCTCCCAAAGAGGAAATGTGTCCCGGCGGAAAGTGCTCACTGAACAAGCACTACTTCTGCCACGTGTGTGCCGATAAGATGCTATGATGCTTAGTATTAAAACATTTCCCTACGTAATTTTAACAATTATGTCAATGAGGAGATTCCAAATTTAAAGATCTAAATATTTATTTTAAAAAAAAAGTTCAACCCCCAAATTTTTCAGGAAGAAAAAAAAACTTTCCTAAATCGTTGTAGCTGTACTCACCCAAGTTTATAGCCTTAGAAAGTGGAGTCAAACAGAAGGTTGGGATGTGAGTGGAGGGGTGCATGAATCTATGCTACAGTGCTAAGCCATTAGGACTCAACAACAATGTAGTTCTCTGCTACACACGTTTAGTAGACCAACAGCAGCAGTGCATGCTTACCGATCTAGAGACCTTCAACTGGTCAAGGTGCAGAGAATAAGAGCCTTCCGAGCACTCGGCCCTACATGGGACGTCTGTATCACACCCCTCCTCCCAAGGCTCAGGGATTACTTCAGAAAAGAGGGCAGAAAGCCTTAAGAGCCACAGGCAATGGCTGACTGCAAGTCAGCAGTGTTTTCTGAAAACAGGCATTTGTGTAGCATGTCTGGTCGTTCATTCAGTTTTTCCTCAGAAATGAACTACCTCCATCTTGTTAACTTCTCCGTCCTTAATTGGTTGGCATGAGCCCAGGACGAAATCTCTCGAGGGAAGGGATAACTCTGGCCCAATTATTTCTCTCCACTTGACGATATTTTAAAAGTGTAGGGATCCCTCTACATACCTAACAAATGTAAGTGCTACAAACTGTAGAGGGATCTCTACTTAGCTTAGAAATAAGAAGTCAAGTAAGGCTTCTTTGAGGGTTACTTAGAAATATTTCAAAGGGGTCTAAGAAAAAAACTATTCTGGAAATGTGGGAAGTCCCCAGAAATGAGAGTGGTAACTGTGCGGTAGTGATTGCAAGGGATGCTGGGAGATGCTGAGGTAAGATACGCCAGCCTTGGGCCTCACTGTGATGGAAGTGTGAGAGGAGGGCAATTAATACGTGATTGGAAAACGGGGCTGTTTCCCACTAGAGAATTTTCACTAACACGGCTCAAGAATCCCACACTGCCAGTCTTGGAATGTTGTAGCCTAGCACCATAGAACTTCAGCCGGGAGGCTTGCGGCCTAAACCTTGGGCCAGGACTGAACCATGAGCAGCCAGTGCTTCCCTTATTTGCATGGCAGAAACTGCATGGGCAGCAGGTGAGGTACCCAGCCAACCTGGACTGCCCTCCTTCACACGGCACGAATGACAGGTCAGGACAGTGCACACAAAGAAACACACCCTAACTGAACAAGTTCCTAAATGGAGGAAGCGCAGCCCCACCCTCACCCCAGCCAAGAGTCCTATGCTGGAGTGGTACTGTAGCACTGCCTCAACCACTTCCTTCTTGCGTTATATCCCAAAGCTATTTCTCCTGTGAGGATTAAGAGTGAATTCCTCCACTGCCTGACAGTTCCTTCCTGACTACTGGCAGCTCAACTCAGTTTGGTACAGGAAGGTTTTTCCACTCTCTGCTAAAGCAATGGGAAACTCCGAGGAAGTGGTAAACAGGGGGATGCTTGGTCAGGCTTAAATTTCTAAACTATCATCCCATTAAATACAGAATGAGGGGGAGGAAGACAAAGGGAGATTTAAGGAACAGGGCAGAAGAGAATGCCAAACTGAGTGCCAGAAGAATGAAAGGCTTCCAGGGGTACGGGGGAGACTGAGCTCAGTGTGGACATGCTGACTTGAGAGGTCTAGAATCCTTTCAAATAGAGATTCTAACCAAGAATACACTTTGGGAACTGAAGTGAAACGGCCTGCACAGAAGATGCTCACAGGTACTCAACACAGAGACGGGGCTTGCAGAGTGAATGGGACAAGATCAATAGAAGAAGAGTGGAAGGAGGTGCAGAGGAATCCTGACCCAGAGTCCAAACTCTGCTGTCCAGCCTGGTTCTTGCAAGTTCCTGGTCTCCATTCTGGGTACCTGTTATGGGTCACGTCTTTGTCATGCTTTAGCGTATCTCATTACTTGCCACCTGATTACATGCTACCTGCTTCCTATTTGCGTCTGAATTTTAACTCTACTCTCTCTGCTCTGATGTCCTGAACCCCTTGCTACGCCTGCTGCACACTGTCCAATGGTGACTTAATAAACACTTCCTTAATAAATTTAGGGCTTGACTGCCAAAGTTTCTACACATGCAACAGAGACCAGTCTTGCCTCTCTCCTGGTAGGTATTTCCCCAGCAGACATACGAAGAAAACTTCCTCTGAGCTCACGGGTTATCATCACATCTGTATTTTGAGCTATTGACAATGTCCTAATGCAAAAATGAAGTGTCCTATGGGATGAGGGGAGGAGCAAGGCCTCCAAGATCCCTGTTGGGAAAATAAGATCAGCTGTTGCCATTTCCCCAACTGTCTTTCTCCACCTCTGGAACAAACACACGAATTTGATCTTAAAGAAATGTCTGCTTCTATCCCAGCTTGTGTTTCACAAACAGCCACTGTCCTCTGTTCCCCACAGTCACCCCAGAAGACGCAGCTGTGAACTTAGTTCAGGTTCTAAAGAGTGAGTCGAGAGCAGAAGATGTCTCTGTTGGTTTACCTGTTTGGAATCCGATTGCTCTGGACCCAAAGTGTGGGGGAAACTACACGCCAACAGAGGATAAGCAGGAGTGGACAGGCACACGGCAAGGTTTGCTGGTTTGCCACATTCATACCTTTGCAGCCAGCCGACACTCCATCACCCTGAGGTTGAAATGGGAAGTGGCCGCTTTGTTCATTTCCACACAGCTGTTGGCAATCACAAAGACTGCCCCACTGGGAAGTTTCACATCAGTTGCTCTCAGAGGACTAAACTCTATTAACTTGGCCTGTTGGAAGAAAAGTGACAGAGGAGACAATAATTGATTAGGATTCAGAAGAGCATTCAAGCTTTTATGCATTTATTTTATCTTAAGAAAGTCTTCTACAGCATCATTTACTGATAGCCAGGCACTGCGCTAGGTGCTGGAGACACAACAGTGAACAGGGCAGGGGCTGCCGCTGTCCCCCAGGAGTGCACAGTTGCTTCAGAAGCCACGAGATTACGTTTCCACGTGAGTCACAGCGGTAGCACTGTGAAGCTCAGGGTCTCACCCTCTCTTAATGGAAGGACTGCTCAGACAACTTAGTGTAGTCTCTGAAAAGGGAAATGTAGACTGAGTCCGAGAGAACACTTGAAGACGTCAGAAAGAAGGAAGAGTTTCTGTCCTGTGGGGCAGAAACAGACACACCGGTGGGAATGGATATCAGCTCTAGGCGCTGATATCTGGCCGAAGGTCACAGCTGGAGAGTGAGAGGCTAAGCTGGAGGCAGAAAGTGGGGGTCAGGTGGTAATTGTGCTTTGCAAGTCCAGAGAAAGAGGGCTCTCTTCAGACCCTGCACCAACCTTACACAAACAGCAGAACTCCCGCTACCACATCTGCTTGCCAGTTCACAGCCAAAACACCTCAAGTATAATTTTAGTGTTAAAAAAGACTTTTCTCCTACCTCATGTCTTTGACTTAGAAGAATCAACAAAAACATATTCTTAGTAGAAGGATCCAGGTGTTCTTGGAAAACAGCCAAACTTGAAGGAATCTCATGCAAAACTAAAGCAGATCTTAAAAAGATGCCTGCTTCTATTTCGGTAATGGGCAGTTCACAGGCAAAAACCCAAACCTCTGCCTTGCCTGAAGGAGCTGATAGCCAAGAGGAAGTGGTATTTAACCGAAGAATTTATTCCTGGCCCACCATCAACATTCTTCCTCCCACCGCCAAAGCCCCAAAAATGTTGACAGAGAAAAATGACACCGAAGAGTAATTTACAGAAAGAGGGGCTGTGCATATATGTGGTAAGAGAACTAACATTTGGGTTTAAAGCCAACGTGAGATTATGAAACACCACAAGATGAAGTGATTTCATGCAAGGTCAGGAAAGGAGGTCCCAAGGAGAGAATTGAGAAATCTCATCTTAGTAATGAGATATGGGGAGAGGGGGGAATCTAGACACATGAGAAAAATAAGTTTCAAGGGTGATTCCGGATGCTTAAGGTAGAGGAACTCAATATGAAATAGGGTGCGTTCACTACCATCAGCCCTGACTCACGAAACAGCTGAGTAGTGTTCTCCAGTAGAGCCTGAAAGACCAGGCTTCCCATAACCATGCATGCTGCGGGCTGCAGGCCTTCCCTGCCAGAGATATTTTCCCAAGTCGAAATTTCCAAATGGCTCAATGCTACTTACAGTTCCTTCTTCTGCAAGAAATGATATGGACTGGTCCATGCCTCCTCCTTCAGTGCCTATGTAACGCTCACTCTTGGCACAGATTTCTGCAAGTTCCACCTGGAAAACCAAACAGTCATTTGTACTGTGATACACTTGTAGCCTAGTTTTCATGCCAGATATGTCAAATAGGTTTGACTTCCAGTTCCAACTCTGCTCAGTTACATAGCAACTGTGTAGAGCAATGTGTTCTGCACAGCAGCTCTAGGAAAACTTAGCAAGATCAAGCAACAGCTCCACAATGGGTCTAGAATGAGAACAGAACATGCGTGCTGGTGTTCAGATCCCTAAAAGACTCTGCAGAGCAAGCAGCTCTCCTCATCTTTCTGTTGACACCACTTCTCTCCTCTGGCACTAATTCCTTTGCCTTTGTCTGGAGACACAGTGACTATTCCAGTGTCTCCAAAGCCAAAGCAGGTCCAAGGTTTTCAAGCCAGAAGTAATGCTACCTCTTGACATGTCCATTAAGTGCAAGAATAGAACCTCTCACTCTAGGTACAATCATGATGAAGAAAGCTGGATGAAAGGGCATAGTTCTGACCCATACTAAAAATATTAAAGGACCACTAGTTGCTTCTTATTGATTAATATGCTAAATTCAAAATCTTCATCTTGCATCCAAAGTCTTCTAAAGTTGCAACCCAACTGAACGTCAAACTGGATTGTCTGTCATTGTTTTTAAGTAGAGGTGTCTTCTTGACCATCTCACGTGTTTATACAACCCGGTGCCACTTCCTGCCTACTATACAAATCCTATGGCCACTCAGTATCCAGGTCATTGACCACACATATGAGCAAGCTGGCCACTCAGATTTTCTGTCATCATGGAGGCTTCCTGAAATTCCCATTCTAGTGTCCTATTTCTCCCAGACCCTGAAACTCTGATAGGGTCATCTAGTTACCCACATGGCTATTTCTGAGGTTGAATTTGGGGCTTTATTTCTCACGCACTCTATTAGACGGTCAGAAGAATCACGGCAAACACTGGTATACAACAGTCTTCTCTTGCCCGCTTGCCTGGCTGCATCTTCTGGATGTGGTGTACAGTTCTTCAGTGACTTAGCTCTCTGCTCCCCCTCTACCTGTTCTCCCAGTGTCCCCCACAAACCCTCAGTCCAGAAATGAGGAACAAACCCTGTTCTTCCTGACTGTCTGGCATTCACCTCTCCTCAGGACTCTTCCATCTCTGTTTCAACAACTCAGCACCCCCAAATTTATACAAGCCACAGAATTCCTCTCTGTTCTCCCTACTTCTAGTTTATTTTGAGCAATGCTTTACGTGGATTTTCTTGTCTCTCTCCAGCAGACTATGGGGGTCCATGCAGTACCCATTCCACTGTCCACTTAAGCAGGCCATCCTGGACAGGGTACTTATCACTGGTCCTTAACTATATCGTGTTTCCACTTCCTCTCTTTTCCTTAAAAAATTTAGTCTGTGAGAGAGAAGCTGTGGTGTTTCCCCAGTGTCATGGCCTTTCATGCTGCCCGGTGTGGGCTAACTCCATAAACTGCTGCTGCTTCCCTTCCTGAGAAGAGCTGCCCAGATGCCGTCGACAGCTTCTGCAAGTGTCATTCACGCCTCTCCTTGGTCATGCGGCTTCAATAACGCTAGCTTTGCCTTGTGACATGAGGCAAACATGGGACTTTGGCATCAAAGGCGGTGCACATGACCTGATGGCACAACAGCCAGGGGCCTGTCCATAATAGACACATTAAAAATAAATTAGTGACCAAAAGGGCAAAACACTTGTACTTAAAATGCAAAGAAACGACGTGCCCAGACAAAGCACTGCACACGGCAATCTGTGAGCAAGCAAGAGTCTGGCTGCCAACCTAGCTGTGACCTTGGGGTAAAGCCAGCTTTCCCAGTGCAGCAATACCCACCATCACTGAGTGAAAGCTGTGTGCAGACTGTGAGTGAGGAATCAACCACACACCTTCACCAACCCCGTGGTACAGAGGAGGATGGCGAAAGTCAGTGACTCATGCTAGACTAGGAGAAGCCGGAATCTGAGGTTCATCCATCTGACCCTGAAGTCCAAGTTCACTTCACACTTGAGTGGTTCCCCCCAAATAAGGCTAATGTAACCATTGTTCCGCCTGCTTTCAGAGGATGTGAAAAGACAAATGGGCATCACCAAAATGTTAATATTCTGTTTTATGAGGAAAAACATTAGAGCAGTGAGAAGTATTAATTACTTGTTTATAAAACTCTTAAAGTGGGTTGCCAAGATGGTCCCCAATAAAGGCACTTGTCACCAAGACTGATGACTTGAGTTTGATCCTTGGGACCTACAGGGTAGGAGAGAACAGACTCCTACAAGTTTTCTTCTCTCTCTTGCTCTCTCTCTCTCTCTCTCTCTCTCTTCCTCTCTCTCTCTCTCTCTCTCTCTCTCTCTCTCACTCACACACACACACTCACACACACACTAAATAAACATTTAAAGCTCTTAAAGTACACCATTGTATACTTTAGTAGTTATAAGATGTTGCTGTGTGTGTGTAAACAGAATTCAGAGTGGCACCGTGTCATGGAGCACCTACCCACAGGGAGCACCTACCCACAGGGAGCACCTACCCACAGGGAAAGGGTCATCACAAACCTTGCCACCACTGTGTCTGACAAATTCAAAGCAAGCAGACAAGGCCCAACAGTTTCCAGTGTGAGAAACAAAGAAAATGAGAAAGAGTGAAGAAAATGAAGGAACGAATTGAAAGATAAAGGTTGATCTCATTGACAGAACCTTGGGGTACATGGAAAAAAAATACAGTGGGAAGAATCCAATAGCAGAAGCTTCCTAACCATGGCTAAGCCAGAATTCTCATTCCAACCAGCTGTGTGACCTTAGGTGAGATGCTTCACTGTTTCCAGGTTTTACCTCTCATCTGCTATTAACAGTAACAATAGTGTTAGTAACAGAAGATTTACTGAGCACTTACTGTGCGCTAAATACTGCTCAATACTTTACCTCAATTACTCACTTCTCAGAGTCCCATAAAACAGATGCCTCTCCACTTTGCAGACGAGGAGACTGGGTCATTTGTTGGGTAATATTAAACTGGAAGTTATTAAAGCTAAAACTCAAATTCATTTATCTAGCTCCAGCATCCATATTCCTGATTACCAGGCTATATCACCTCCCATTTATACTGAAGAGAAAAATAATGTCTTCTAAGCCACAGGATTACTGTGATGACCCTAAGACTTGACTTAAAACACCACAAGACCACAGTGCTCTAATGCAGCATACCAGGGTTGAAAAGTGTGGATTATTATTTTTTTTTTTTTGCAAATGAAGAATCATTTGATTTACACAAGAAGATAGCTAAAGATGAAATCAAATACAGGATGCCTTCAAGATGTTAATGGAAATAGAGAATTTTAAAGAATCTGGAAGTCTCCACAACAATAAAGAATAATGAACCATCAGGAGACCAGCAAAGTGGGGCCCCACTCGAGCTATTTCTGTCCAACTGCAGAGCAGGGAGTCCCCCCCCCACGCAGTAAACAAAGCCTGCCTGCATGGGAAATTCAGCAGCGGACCCACCCACTTGCTGGCTTCCTCAGTAGTCCTAGCTGTGAGGTCCCAGTGCTAAACAGGGGGCAGGGGGTGGAGGATGGGTGGGTGGGGAGGCGAGTCCTAGATGAGTAAAAGATATAAAGAACCTAGAAGCAAAGGCTAACAGAAACCCAAATCTGACTTAAGGAAAATATGCGCATAAGTCAGAGAGCAAACAAAATTAGTCAAGCCCACAGCCCAAGCCAGAGACTATAACCTGAGCTCAAGGAGTCATCCAGGAGGGCCACTGGGAACCAGGTCCTAACTCAGGGTCATGTGGGATCCACCCAAGCACTTTCCGTCTATAAGATTCTGGAAACAGTCACCACACATCTGCCAAGAATTTAATCAACCAGAGCTACTCACACAGGCACTATATTGGTGCTTCCAACTTCTGAAATTGTGTATGACTTCAGTAGACTTCACAGAATTAAGAAGCCGCAAAAGCATGTTAACAGGCATGTTTGGGGAAAATGAGCATTCTGGAGTCAACCCAGGGGAAAGTGAGTGAACTCGGGGGCCAGTGCTGTGCAGGAAAGGGCAAGCTCGCGTTTCTGTCATGGTCGAGGCATCTGAATGCTCCTGACTCCTCTACGCCACGAGTACACAGCCTGAAACCCTCCAGCAAAACCAGCAAAGCTTGAGCCTAATGGGACTCTCTCTCTCCCTTCACATTTTCCTAGCTCTTGCAGCTATGCACTCGGAAGCTGGGTTCCTCTCAGCTAATCTCCCTCATCCTTAGGGACAACAATTGGACTACGGATGCTCTGCAAAGCTGTGGGTAGAAGAGAAGACCAGAGTCTGCCCTCCAGGAGCCAGCAACACTGCTCTTATCTGCAGATCTTCTAAAGAAGACAGAACTCTACCGTGCTAGGCAGCTTCTACCTTCACTTCAGTGGGCTCAGGAAACAACAGTACCCAGAAGCTGCACGAATTTCTTTTACAAAGATGTGACTGCTAAGTCTTCACATCTCTAATAAAGAGAAAACTTATATCTGCTTCTTTCTTTCTTTCTTTCTTTCTTTCTTTCTTTTTTTAACTACATGAAACTTTTTCTGAGGATAATGATAGCTAATTCCCAAAGTGAGCATGGCAGGTAAAACTGATCTTGACAGTCAAGGCTGAAATTTTCTACATGTAATAGAGGAAATGGAACAAGGAGATCAAACATTGAGCAATTAGAATCTGGAAACAAACACAAAAGATGTTTCACAAAAGTAAGTCTAAAAACCTGCTGAAGTCTAGAACCATCACTCTAGAACCAGTGAGGATGTCACTGCACCCGCACTCAGTGGGGAGAGCCCAAGCTAAGGAACCTAGAGGAGGTTCCAGTTGGGATGGGCAGCTCTGAGTGTCTACCCAAGGTGTTTTGTGAGGACAGAGGAAACCTCCGAGCATCCAGAACTGATGCGAAGGGAGATACTTTCCTGAGCTGTTGGCCAGCAGGACGCATGCACTGTGGAGAGACCCAGATCTGAAAACGAGGTCATCAGAAGGAGG